TTTAAGTGTATCAGGTCGTTAATCGGAGCGATTTTGATACCGCATCAAACCCAACGCCTCAGGTCATGCTTCCTGTTCGGTCACGGGGCAAGTTAAGTGCCTATGGCATGCAGAGTGGTGGTTTGGGATTTCATTTTTCTTTCTTTTTTGGCTCCACTTATCACGTTCACCACTGGAGCCACAGGTTTTGCGTGTGGCAAAGTTGTCTGGTCTTCTTGCCCGGAGGAATAATTGCGCCCCCAACTTTTCAACACTAAGGTTGTGGAAGCAGTTGTGTTACAGCAGCACAATAAAATATGTTTTTAGCGTCTGTAGACCTACCATTTGGGAAAAGGAGGCAGTAAGCATGGCTGAATACTTTTATTCAGAGGGAAGAAGATGGAGGAGAGGTGAGAGTTTAGTCCATCCAGACAAGAGCAGAATGGAGATGATCGCCAGTCATAGAGGTAGTTGAACAAACAAGGTATCACGTTGCTCCTTTCTCCTTTTGAGCGACATTCTCAGTGCTCATCTCGGTACACCTGCCACGTCAACCATCACGACTTATTTCGATGCTTCTCTGAGACTGATGGCGTGTTTCATTCTCTCAGCAGCTTCCACAGGGTGTGTAGTTGCGTTCAACCCAAATACAGGAAGTAGAGGCGAGAACTTCTGTTGGGCGTCAAGTGTGTTTAATGCCAGACACTGAAGCATTGCCGTAGAACATAGTCGTGTACGGAAGAGGGTTCAGCGTTGTCTCGTCACTGCCATTTACGATAAGGGGAACTCCGAAAGGTTATTTGCTAACGGCATGCCTGTAGAACACGAGGATCGAGTGGATGCTAACCAAGGGAGTCGTTTTTAACGCCTCTGCTGTAGAAAGGCGGAGAATTCCACGCCTCAAAGTATGCGTTATCTGCTTCATTCGCATCGCAGAAGTTTGTCACAAGCGATGGAAACGGAGATGAGGGTGGCAGCAAAGTTGGGCTTCCCTTCCACCGCCACCAGTGTAACTTCTCACGTTTTTCTCGAAGGCTCTGTAGACGACCCTCGGTAGGGCTGACCGCTTGCAATCAGGGAGAAGAGGACGAGGACGGGTTTTGGCTTAGCCTGCGGACCAGTCCACCCCGCCAAGGGCAGGATAAACACCAAAATGACCGCCAGGTCATACTGGTAGTCGAATAAACAAAGCATTGCGGTCCAAATTCTCCTTCAACAACCCTGGTAGTGCAGATGTGTCGAAAGGGCGATTTCACAGTCAATTATGCATTAAGTCACCCTCTATTGCAAATTAGTACTCACGAAATTTTGATAGTTCCTGCTTGCCTTTTG